TGGGGGGGGGGTTTGAACCGGCCCCCCCTGCCGCTCCTGAGACAGAGGCAGCGCTGGGGTGCAGGAGCACGTTGGCTGCCAGCACCACCCCCAGGGGGTATTTTAGTAACTGTACAACCACCAAAAGTTGTTGTGACTTCACAATTACTATAATACACGAGGGCTGTGTCTAGACTGGCAGCTGCTTTTGCCGAAAAACTTGCCAGCTGTCTACACTGGCCGCTTGATTTTGCGCAAAAGCACTGACATTCTACTGTCTGAAATCAGTGCTTCTTGCACAAATGCTTTGACATTCCCATTTGGGCAAAACCCCTTTTCCGGAAATGTTTTTGCGCAAGAGGGCCAGTGTAGGCAGATAAAAACTGTTTTGTGCAAAAAAGCCCCGATGGCGAAAATGGCTGTCGGGGCTTTCTTGTGCAAAACTGCATCTAGATTGGTGCGGACGCTTTTCCACAAAAAGTGCTTTCGCGGAAAAGCGTCCATGCCAATCTAGACGCTCTTTTCCACAAACGCTTTTAACGGGAAAAACTTTTCCGTTAAAAGCATTTGCGGAAAATCATGCTAGTCTAGACACAGCCAATAGCTAACATCCCTATTCCCCACCGGGAGGGGGGGGGGGCTTACTTCCCACCACCACTGCTCATACCATATTGCAGCATGTGTTTGTTTCCTCCCCAAGCTACGCGCTGCAATTGGGGTTGCCTCTTACTGCCTACACAGGGTAGGCAATGTGTTTTGCTCAACAACAAACAGATGAATGTGGTAGCTTTCTGATCTGGAAACAAAAGCTGATAGGCAAGAAACTCCCCATCCAATGCCTTACAAGCTAGAGAAGAATGGTCAATGTATTCAACCTTGGGCAAAATCACAAAGGAACACAAACTGTAAATATAACAGCAGACTGAGTTTGTCATTAAAAGGCAATTTATTGTGATCATTAACTAGATGTCCCGTGCATAAAAGACTAAAATAGTAACAGTCAACATACAGTTAACAAAACATCTTGAAGCTTTGAACACAAGGACAGGAGCAATTATTTCCACGGTCTCACTTAGCTGCAGTTTCTGATCTCATCTAGAGGAGTCAGGGAATGTGCAAACTGTATTTTTCCTTGGGAAATTGAGTTTGTGTCTTATAAATTGTCAGTTTCAGACTCTTTTTTTCAAGAAAAGAGAATGCAGTGATATTGCCAGAACTTCTCAGTATCTTACTACAATAAGGAATAATACTGGAGAATTCTGCATGGGTCATGAACTCTCCTTTTGGCTATGACAGCCAAAAGGAAATGAGTTCTGTCTAGGAAATGTGCACTGGAAAATATAGAAAGTGATTTTAAGGCTTTTTTGGAGGAATTTCTTCATATCTCACCTAACAAACATTTCACTTCCCACCACCTGCTGAGCATGGCAGTGACCAGAAAGGAAGACTAAATTTATGGTTCTGGCTGTATACACATGAAAGGGAAGCAGGTGGAGTTGTCATTATAGAATTCATCCCCCCTAGAAGCAGTATTTGTCCCCACTGACCCTAAACTGAAAGAAAAATCAAACTACCTTCCAAAAGCTGCTGTGATAAGAAAATTGCTGCCACCAAACACTACACTCTAAAAGGGTAACTGCCAAGAAAGGTTGCTACAAATCTGAGCTGACACTAGCCCTGAAGGCAACTAGAGACCACCGGGAACTGGAAGGCTACTATAATCAAAAGGGTCTGTATCCAGCTGAGGCCACTTCACTCAGAAGGGGTCACTGGTGAAGTTGTTTTTGCCCTTCTTGCGTTTGGTTTTGGAGGACGGTGTGATGAAATCAAGCGACTCTAGGCGGAAAGGACGTGGCTGGGGCATCTCCACAGTCTGTGAAGGAGAGACTGGTGCCATGGTGGAGGTGTTGTTGTTCAGGGGGGCGCTCAGCACAGGAGGGGAGTTATGATGGGCTGCAGAATAAAGGAATAAGACATGCCAACCAACACCTCAGTCTAGTAAGTCTCAGCAATGCTTTTCCAAGTTCCCAGCTGCATTAAATCTTATCTATTAATTCTACTGAAGGCAGTCAGGAAATGTAGAGATTTTTTTAAATTTAATTTATTCATTTTAAGGAACTTCCAGACGAGTCGACCATTTCACTAGTTGGTTTTCTGACTATGGAATGTATCTATTCAAATACTAATAACCAACAGTCCTGGAGAGTGTCTGGTGGCTGAGCTTTCTCAGCAACTACCTCCATGTTTGGAATTTGATGCCTACACCCCCTTGAAAGTAGATCACAGACTGAGTTAATGACCATACTGAGTCAGATCAAAGGTCTACCTAGCTCAGTATCCTGTCTTCTGACAGTGGCAATACAAGGTGCTCCAGAAGGAATGAACAGAACAGGGAATTATTAAGTGATCCATCCCCTGTCACCCATTCCTACCTTCTGACAAGAGGCTAGTGACACCATTCCTAGCCATCCTGGCTAATAGCCTCTGTGAATTTACCTAATTCCTTTTTGAACCCTGTTAAAGTCCTGGTCTACACAACATTCTCTGGCAAGGAGTTCTACAGGTTGATTGGGCCTTGTGTGAAGAAATACTTCCTTTTGTTTGTTTTAAACCTGGTACCTATTCATTTAATTTGGTGACTCCAAGTTCTTGTGCTATGGAACAAGTAAATAACTTTTCCTTATTTACTTTCTTCCCACCAGTCATGATTTTACAGAATTCTATCATATTCCCCCTTAGTCTCCTCTTTTCTAAAATGAAAAGTCCCAGTTTTATTAATCTCTCCTCATTTGGCAGCTGTTCCAAACCCCTAATCATTTTTGTTGCCCTTTTCTGAACTTTTTCCAATGTCAAGGTATCTTTTTTAAGATGAGACGACCACATCTGCATGCAGTATTCCAGATGTGTACCATGGATTTATATAGAGGCAATAAGATATTCTATTCTGTCTTATTCTCTATACTTTTTAAATAATTCTTAACATTCTGTTTGCTTTTTTGACTGCTGCTGCACATTGAGTGAATATTTTCAGAAAACTATACATGACTCCAAAATCTCTGTCGAGTGGTAATAGCTAATTTAATCCCCATCATTTTGTACATATGCTTGGGATTATGTTTTCCAATATGCCTTACTTTGTATTTATCAACATTACAATTCATTTGCCATTGTGTTGCCCAGTCACCTATTTTTGTGAGCTCTCTAAGTCCTTCACAGTCTGCTGTGGACTTAATTAATATGCACAGTTTTGTATCATCTGCAAATTTTGTCACCTCACTATTTACCCCTTTCTCCAGATGATTTATGAGTACGTTGAACAGAATTAATACTAGTGCAGACCCTGCAGGTCACCACTGGTTACCTCTCTCCATTCTGAAACTGACCATTTATTCCTACCCTTTATTTCCTATCTTTTAACCAGTCTGTGAGAGGACCTTTCCTCTTATCCCATGACAGTTTACTTTGCTTAAGAGCTTTTGGTAAGGAACTTTAGCAAAGGCTTTCTGGAAAACTAAGTACACTATATCCACTGAATTCCCATTGACCACATGCTTGTTGACCCCGCTCAAAAAATCCTACGGGTACGTCTACACAGCAGGGCTAAAGTCAAATTAAGCTACGCAACTTTAGCTACATCAATTGCGTAGCTTGAGTTGAAATAGCTCAATGTGGCTTTAGGCGCTGTCTACACAGCAGGAAGTCGAAGGAAGAACACTCTCCAACTTCCCTTACTCCTCGTGAAATTAGGGTTACCATGAGTCAGAAGTCCTCCTGCTTGACATTATTTCAAAATAAGGGCTTGTAGTTTAGCCAGGCTCTATGTACACTGCTGTTTAGACGTACTAATCTAGTAGATTAGTGAGGCAGGATTTCCCTTTACAGAAACCACATTGACTTTCCCCCAACAAATTGTGTTCATCTATGTGTCTGACAATTCTATTCTTTACTATTGTTTCAATCAGTTTGCCCTGTAATGAAGCAAAATGCAGGACAATGTAGCACTTTAAAGACTAACAAGATGGTTTATTAGATGATGAGCTTTCGTGGGCCAGACCCACTTCCTCAGATCAAATAGTGGAAGAAAGTAGTCACAACCATATATACCAAAGGATACAATTAAAAAAAATGAACAAATATGAAAAGGACAAATCACATTGCAGAACAGGAGGGGGATGAAGTTATGAATGAAGTTAGACTTAGCGGTCTGTAATTGCCAGGATCACCTCCAGAGCCCTTTTTAAAAATGGGCATCACGTTAGCTACCTTCCAGTCATCTGATACAGAAATGGTTTAAAGGATATTTACAAGTTCCTCAATTTCCCATTCAGAACTCTTGGATGAATGCCATCTGGTCCCGGTGATTTGTTACTGTTTAGTGCTAGCCCGACGCACTAGTCTGAATCACAGCTGATTCGAACCAGGAAGTGCGAAGAGGAACGTTAGTTCGAACCAAGGGCTTTGGTTCGAACTATCGCGTCTTGGCACGCACTTCCTGGTTCGAAGCAACTGTGATTCGGACTAGCATGTCGGGTGAGATCTTGCTAATGAAGTGTGGGATATTTAAATCCCCGCTTCATTAGCAATTTTGGCCACCTACATTTGCATCCCTAGTCTGAACTAGGGAGCAAATGTAGATGTACCCTAAGTTTAGTGACTTTCATGTCATAATGCAAAGCTCATTTAATTGGCTGAATTGTTCAATATGACTTTGTTTTGTTCTGGCTTTCTGCTTACTCTCTTTATTTGAAGGGCCCAGCCGCCACCATGCATCTGCATTTTAGAGACTATAGCAATAATAGGGTTCATTCACAGAAGAAGAAATAACTGGACAAATTTCTCCATGCTGCCTCATGATTGTGACTCAATCAGTTCTTATGAGACCATTTCTAAAGGCAAGAAAGGACTGTTTATACCCCATCCAGTCTTTGGCAAAGATGCCAGTTAGCACCAACCATGGTGTTGGATTTTGTTATGCAGACAGCTATCCACTAGGCATTAGACTACGACCCTGCAAAAATCTTTTTCACTCAGGCTACCACAGTGTGGTTATCTTTTGTCAGACCTATCTAGGCTACTTTGAAACCAGTGACCTGATGATAACAGGCTCTGTACCTGTTCATCCTCAGCTGCATTTATTTCTGTGGGCTGGCTCAGAAGTGACCTCAGATCTCTGTAGCTCCAAAACTGTTCCAAAATGAAATGGAATCCCTTGGAGACCACTGATCTAGATCATCCCTGACAGTATGTCTACACTACAATGCTATTTCAAATTAACTTAATATGAAATAGTTAATTCGAATTAAGCTAATTCGAAATAATGCATCTATACACAAAATCTATATTTCAAAATAGCATTTTGCTATTTCGAAATAGCATGTCCACACTGAGTGGATCCTGAACCAAAGTTAAGGCTGGCCGGAACCAGTGCTGGCAGTGCATCAGGTTAGGACTTTGTGTGTGGGGCTGCTGCCTGAGGCTAACTGAGCTCTGTGCTTAAAGGGACCCTATCCCCACCCCGGACAGACAGTTCTCAGGGTTCCCCGCTTGCTTGTCTACCTCGATGAGAGACAGCAAAGCAGTCCTGTCTTGGAGTGCCCTGAGTGCCTGCACTCGGGACACCATAGCACTCGGCCACATGGAGCCAGAGCTGCCCCTGAGCACGCCATTGCGTCTCGTAGGGTCGTTGCCATCAGCCCGGCTGCACTTGCTGCAGGCTGCCATCTGGGGGGGTCCATCGGGGGACTGTCAGGATCCAGGAGGTCCTGAGGGAGAGTGTCCATCCCGAGGAGCCCTCAGATCCTCCGTGGTCCTCCCCACCGGGGGCTCGTGCCCCATTCCTCCCTCACGTCCTTCCACTTACTCCTCCCTAGCCCCCCTTCCTGATGTCAAATGAAAGACACGTATGATGAAAAATAGAAACTGGGTTTATTGAACAAAACTGGGGTGGGGGGGAGAGGGATGAACCTCTGGGGAGACTGGAAAAAGGAGGTGGGAGAGAGGTTGGGAGAGGGGAGGGGGAAACCTGAGAGGAGAGTTCTGGAAGGGGGAAGCAAGGGGAAGAAAGGGGAGGGGAAGCTCAGGGTCCAGTGTTGGGGGTCTCGCCAGACCAACTTGATTTTCATGCAAACCTGCTCCTGAGTTCTCATGTGGCCTTTGGTGGCCAGGTTGGCAGCTATCCTGCCATAGACATCTGTGTTCCTCTGTCTAGTGTGGAGATCATGGATGGTTGGGGCAT